GGTCCATGTCCTTATGCAGAGGACCCCAGACCTGCATGTAGCACTCCAGGTGGGGTCTCATGAGGGGAACGATCACTTCCCTTGGCCTGTTGTTCACACTGCTTTTGATGCAGACCAGGATATGGTTGGCTTTCTTGGATGCAAGTGCACAAATGGAGAATCTATTGCTTGCAGTTTGTAGTTTGTGCCAATGCTTAAGCATTCTTGCTGCACCTAACTGTTCTGAGAGCTCATCTTTCAGTTCTCCAGTGTTCTGTGTTCCCACACTCTGCTACAGCCTTGTTTCCATTTGGTACCTTTATTTTTTTTGCCTCCCCCCCCCTCCCCACACACACACTTCAATTTCTTGTTGTTACCTTTGCTCTATCACTGAGCCAGGATGAATCCCTAGTCAGAACAGTGCCCCCTGACTGTTGAATAATGCCTTTTCTTTAATAACTTCATTTTGAGATGCACTGATTTATACATGCATGCACCATAGTTGGTTATAGGTACAGGGTTCAGCCTAGAAGTCACTGAAAGCACAGTGCATTCACCACATGGATGACTGATTTCTTCTTGTACTCCTCTTTTAATGTTGCATTAAAATTTTGGTTTACGAGAAATCAAATGATTCCTCAAAAAAAAAAAAAAAAATCCAAAAAGGATGTGTAACCAGCAAGGATGTGTAACCTCAAAAATATGTAACCAGCAACTGTGGGAAGTTTCTAATCCCCAGGTTAGCCAAACATGATTTTTTAACTCTGTGCCAGTATATTAATTGAATTCTGCAAACCTTTCTCATAGTGCAAATACTTCCATTTTCAAATCGATGTGGGCTGTGAAATTTTAATTTCACAGTATAATAGAATATTTTTAAACACAACATAAATACTGATTTTAAAATTTCAATGTTATTTCTATTTTTTTAGAAACATATCTACTTGTAAAATAGCCGAGATCACGGGGGTGATTTTTTTTTTTCTTCACAATATGTTTGAAAGGGCATTTTATTTTTTGTTTTTTTTTTGGTCTCCTAGGGGACATAGGGAAAACTCCCATTCTGATCTACATGCATTTCCCTGGCTAACCCTTGCAGGCTGGTCCTCTGATATTTCCCAGTGAGGTGCTCAAGCCTGGAAATACGGTTTCGATTTTAATGCATTTTCTGAAGTTCTAAAATTTCCCCAATGTAAATAAACTCCAGAATTATCAGCTTACCATGCTAATGTATGTGCAAGTGTTAAAAACTTTATATTCTTTAATTCTGTTTTTGTTAGCTTTGCTGGGAGCTTGGTTTCCAGAAAGCTGTACACTAAAGCTCTGTACCGTTATTTCTCAGCCTGTGCACTTTTATCCTGCTGTGGCACCTGAATGCTTCCCCAGGCCCCTTTTCTTCTGCCTTGTTACCATCCCAGTGGCTTCTGAATTGTAGAGATCCAGGAGGCCACGGCAAGTGCTCAGGAGCTTGCTATTTGTAGGGATGATGAGAACAGCTGAAAATGGTACAAAATATTTGGGAGCAGCTCTGTTAAGTATCCTGGGGAAGAATGAGGGCTGGAATGCTGGAGTGAAAGGCCTTGGTATATCCCAGAGTCTCCTTAATTTATTTGTAGCTGTGAGCTTGTAGGGAGTGCAGAATTAGGCCTTACTCTTTACAGTTTCTGGGCATGTATGTGAAGCATCCTTCTAAGAGGGGTTTAGCTCTATGGCATCATCTCAACTTTTGGCAAGTATTTTCCTACAATTCATGGTCTGCATAGGAACTACTCACTAAACCGAGTACAACTCTCACTGCATGTTTGCAAGGTGGATGCAACAGTCAGGAGGGACAGTCTTACTGCCTGCTGCTCACATAGGACATCCTGGTTCACTCCTGTGCTTCTCTCACTATTGCCATGTGCAGGGCTTCAGGTGCTTGCCCGTGGCAGCCTAAGTGGTTGCCCCACACAGTCATTTAAGTGCATGAAGTGCACAAGTGTGAAATTTCAGCCACTCCCATCGCCCTCTAGCAACGTGAAATGATTTTATTGAAATTGATTTTCAGTACAGAAGCCCTTTCCTCTCATTTCTAAGGATTATCTTACACATCACCTGAAGTATGTGCTGACAGTAGCTGTATGAATCAATTACTTACAAGCACAAACCTGTTAAGAAAATAATTATGATCACATATAACGTGGTAACAGATTCCATAAAACAAAACAAAACAACAACAACAACAACAACAAAATTTCCTTAGAAGACAGATTAGCTTTCATGTGAGTATAGCCAGAGGCCAATTATAAAGGGAGGACAGATATTGAACATCAGGAGAAGGATATGTTGATTTTGTGACATGAAGTTTGGGGCCAATATTCTATGATTTTTGAGCAGAGATGGTTGTGGTGTTCTGCAGGACCCATACAAGTGATTTACTGGGTACAACCTCATCTTGCTAGGCCCCCATCTGTCTCTGGTCCCTGCCTGTTCTTTTCCAAACTACCCATTTAAAGTAGTATTATTTCTTATGTAGTGCTGCAAGGTCAACGTGCTGCCTGCCCAGGTGCTCTTGAATGTGCCTGCTGTATCATGGATTGCTTGCTTGTTTTGTGTGCTAGGCATATTGTTCAACATGGACATCCACAACCTGAGAGGTTTGAGTTCCAGAAAGTTTTACAGTATGCATTGTGACCTATATGGTATCAGGTATGAATATAGATTAGAACATGTTTCTAGAAATTTTGAATAGCTATATTTAGGTTTCTGACTTCAAGGTTCTCTTTTATAAACCTCTGTAATTGTGGTTGTGCTGCTTTAAGTTCACATTTATTTTTAATTCTTTAAAGCCTTCAAGAAGGGTTGTTTTTCACTTTTTTTCTTCTTTCTGTGAAGAGCTGTGTATTCTAACTGGAATATATGTATATATTTGGTGGAATATACAGTTTAGTGCAACTATAATGTGAATTCCAGACCTTGCTTCACAACCTAACATAATTTTTAAGGAAAAAAAAAAAAAAAAAGGTTTCTTATTGCCCTGAATCAAAAAGATAATGTACTCACTGCAGCTAAGTATGGCCCATTTCTATCCTTACATGTGCATAACACTCAGTGACACATCCTGTAGCTGTCAGTAAGATGTGACCCTACCATTCTGTGATTTTCATGTCAAATCACTCTATTGCATGCCATGGAATAACTCAAATCAGCATTTGATCTTGTGAACGTAATAAGCAGTCCTTTCCACTGAATTTAATTCTGATCGATCAGTTGGGTCTCGCACTTTAAATAAAAAAAAATGCTTGTACGTAGGATATTTCTATTCAGTATGCTGCAAGGGACTGCTACACTTCGGGATAGATACTTGTAATGATGTGATGGTAGTCACTGTGCTGTGTTTGCATACTAATCAGATTGGTTCATGAAGCATTATACTTGAGAAACCCTCAGCTATGCTCTGTAGAACAAATTTGATCTTTGATACGCAGGGGAAAATCTTCAAGAGTATAAAGCCTTAAGTGTCTCTGCTAGCGTTTTGATTGCTACTTACACATGTTTTGTAGGTCTGATGTCAAAAAGACTTGCTTCTCTTTAAGACACTTGATGCTTAATAAAGAAAAATTGGAACTAATTCCCTGTGGTATTTTTGTGCAAAGATGCATGGCCTGGAAGTGGTGATATTTGTGTTGAACTTGTCTCATCAAGTGATTGTGTTTTAATGGACCTTCTGTACTAGCACTACAGGAAAGCAGATATTTATTATGCTGCGATGCGTATTTCTATCAGGTAACTTTTCACTGACTGTGTGCCAAAGGTAGAAAGTCTGTGCCTTTTTCTGTAAGGCTGTTTTTCAGAAAAGCCTGAAGTTGAACTATGCTTAGCATTACAGTTTCTTTACCATAGTAATTGTCTTGTCATTACTAAGACTAAATGTCCATGCTGTTAATAGTTTCCTTCATGATAACAGAGGAAGGTAGGAGATGAGTTTATTCTGGTGCCTCCACTGGACTTGGAGAATCAAAGGTATTAACATGACCTTGCATGCCTCAAAGCAGTTTAAGCAAAGTTCACGGCTTCAACTGACCCCATCCTGCTAAGAAAAGCATACTGTGTGTGGCAATGACCACTGCTAGTAGACGTTTATAAGAGGGTGAATTCCCTATTTAATAGACTTATAAAGGGTGTTCGAATGCTAGCTATTTTGGGGGCGGAGAAGGGAAATGCTTTATGTGGGTTGGAGCTAATGCCTTGTTGGATGATATATCAAAGGACGAAGCAGAATATCCAAAGGCATGCAGAACAGGGCAGCAGGAGAAGCGAAGAGAATGTGAAGCTTTGGGCTGGTGCACAGCCCTGCTGCCAGGATGGGCGAGGGAGGTGACTGTAGCACCAGATGTTGCAACCAGGCTGAGACCAGCTGAACTCCTCACAACTTTAGCCTGAGTCGAATGTTAAGCTGTCGCAGACCATGGCTCAGAGAAGAATTACGAAAGGGATGTCTGTTCCGTGTAGCATCAGGGTGCAAAACTGCACCTGCAGGTGGTGTAGTCCTGGTCGGTATCTCTGGGGGGAGCAGCACTGCTAATCTGCTCCTGCTGCCCAGCCAAACCAAGGGGCACCATGCCCCTGAGGTGTGCCAGGCTCTCCTTGCCTAGTGGGGTGCAAGCAGGACAATGGCCGGGGCTGTGTGGGATGTAGTGTCTGGCTGGGATGCTGCCAGAGGGATGGGGGCAGGCACCCAGGCTGGCTGACGGGGACTTGATTGGATCCTGGGATGGAGATGCAGAAGGCCTCGTTCCTGGATCCCGATGTGAGAGCTCTCTTGCTAGCTGCCCCTTCCCCTCCTGGCTCCCGGGGCGCTCTCCTTTCCCTGACCCATCGGGGCTGCTGCTGGGTTCTCAGCTCCCTGCAGACGGGTGAGATGCTGGGCTGGAGCTGTGGGCGTTTGCATCTCCAACAGGCGCATGTGAGCAATGTGCCTTTAAGACTAGCAGGAGAGCAATAGTATCCCCCTCCCTCCTGTTAATTGTAGCATGTTTTTCAGCCATGCTTTCCAGTCACATTCGCAGCTTGTGAGAGGGAGCAGCGCCGAAGCTCACCGGCTGAGTGCTGTCTGTGCTGGCTGGGCAGCGCGTGCCTGCCCGCAGCGTGGGCGCCTGCAGGTGCTGGGCAGTGCCTGGGGCCACAGGGCTTGGTGCCGGGAGTGGGAGCCCCGTATTGCCCGAGTCCCAGTGACACTGCTGGGCTCTCCACATCACCTGCGTTCCTCACCTCCTCGGCTGCTTGGCCTCCAGCCGCCGATCCAGCTTGCTGGCTGTGATACCCCAGTGGGCCCTCCCCTGGGCTCCCGTGGGAGCTCCGAGCAGCATTTTGCTGGAGCCAGGGGACCTGCAGCGGTCGGCGCAGCAGGAGCTGTGCGGTGCCTGGCTGGGGATGCTGTGGGCTGCCGTGGGAATGCCTGCCTCCCAAAGTGACTGCAACTAACTCGAGGTTGGGACTACTTCTCAGAGGATGCCCTGTGTGTCTTCACTCTCTCCCCTCTGGCCTCACCACAGAATATTTGGAGTTATTTGCTTGCCCCTGCTGATGGGGTACGGAGTCACAGGCCTCCGGAGGGTTAAGAGCATCTGCCTTTATGCCAAGTATTCAAGCAGGAAATAATCTGCAGAGATACATGTGCAGCAATTCAACTGCTGATGCTCTCCCAGGCTGCTGCTGCTGCTGCAGTTCGGTGTGTGTGAGAAGCCGCGCTGCTCAGAGAAGATGCTTTCCTGGTCTGTCCAAAGTGCTGGGCATGGCAGCAGAACCCCGGCTTCTGGAGCTGGGGTAAATATCTCCACCCAAGAGGAATTATGTTGACCTGCAGGCTCTGTTGGCTGGCTGAGGTAGGAGCTGCTCTCCGTGCAATATGCTGTGATCTTTGTCTGTAGGCTACAGTTCTCCCCTCATCCTGGGCTATGTGATCGAAAAGATTTCAGTGGAAAATGGGTTTAGTTTGCAGCCTAAAGCCAGGCAGAAATGCATGTGTGTGAGGTTTTTGTGTGTGTGGCAGGAGGGAGAGGGGAGGGGATATTTCAGGGATACCTTTTGTGCCTGGCACTAAAGTTGTTGCACTTAATTGGATCAGACTTGCTTTGGTGTCTGTGAAATGCACCTGGGAGCTTTTGTTTTTTCCTAGTGTGACCTTTTGAAGGGGCTGGCTGCAGTACATGGGGTTATGCTTTCATTCAGAAGCAGAGATACAGTGCACTCTACAGGTCCTTTCATTCTGCTCCGGTGGATGTGGGAAGGACAGAGGACACCCACACAAAGTGCTGCTGACAGGGAGGTGGTGTTTTCTGGAGGAGTGAAATTACACCAAGAGGGAGAAAAGAGGTGCCCTTCTCAGAGGAAGAGGGGTCCTAAAGGCTGATCTGGGTATTTGGAAGCAGAGAAAGAAATTCATTTTAGGAGCTGTCTGTGGATGAATCTGTTCTGTGCTTTGCTTTCCCAGCTCTGTGGAGGGGAGTTCTGTTCATCTCTGCTAACTGCTTTACTACCTGCAACCTTTAATTGATTTTTTTCCCCCGCGAATACCTAGGGGAGTAAAAATGCTAATGCCATCAAATTTCAGCATACGGTTTCCTTAGGCTTGTTTAGGATGGTGCCTTCTTGAGAAGTCTCTAGCAAGATAAGCAGCAGCTGATGCTGTGCCTTTCTCACCAGCAGAGCATGTGTTTTTGGCTTGTCTTGAGACCTTCAGCGGGAGCTTTACTCTGTAAAGACTGAGTTGAAAGGGAACTTTTCAAATGTATTCTGCTGGAAAAAGCAGGATGTTGGGTGCTGGGTACCGATTTGACACCAGTTCTCATGACTAACCTACACGTGTACATTTGCATGTTGGCTTCTGAGCACATGAGCACACATCCTGCCAATGAAACCTGCCTGCGCAGAATAGGTGAGCACTGCCTAGACTCTGTGCCTGGATCACACGGAGTTTTGTACGCATTTCTGGCATTGCCAATCTATTGAAAAAGCACGGCCAACAGTGCCGCTGCTGGGTAACTGTTCCAGAACCATTTCTGTGGCCTAGTAGCAGAACAAATGTGTTATTCATAACTTCACTCTTTGGGGAAAAAGAGTAAGACTGTCTTCTTCAAAAGTGACTGAAAAGATTTGCAGCGTTTTCTTTTAGTCAGGGCTTCCAGGCTGGCATGTGTTGCTGTCCCTGAGCAGATTGGTCAGAGTGTTTATTATTGCCTCCTGAACTTCCCAGAACTGTTGTGCCGTGCTTGAGCCAGCATTGACCTATCTCACAGGGAAGACTAGTAAAAAATCCCCCTCTTTAACACTAAATAAGGGCCAAAAGTGAGGCAGAAATTATATATTTTTTTCTTCCTTTTATAAAATTTTTTTAATTTTTTTCCCCAAGAACAGGACATTTGTGAAGCCTCCTTTGGGATCCCATGGAGAAGACCTCTGATGCTCTCTAAGAGCTCTGTGTTGGAGATAGAGGAGCAGGAGTGGGTCTGGTGGATTTGCTTCTGTATATGACTCAAGAAGCCCTAACCCCTGTGGGGGACGGAGGCTGTGGTGGTGCTTGGGGAGCAGCTGCTCTGCTCTGTCCTGTGAACGAGGATCCTTGTTACCCAAGCAGGAGGCCAAGCTGGGTAGCAGCTCTCCATAGCAACACACACGTCTCCCACAAAGGGGAGAAAAATCTCCTGGTTTCACCCAGAGGTGAAAATATGAATATATGAACACCCAGCGGAATCTCAGCACTGTAGTGCTGGTATAAGGTCATCTGAACAGCTTCTCTATAAAAATGCATTTATAAAATGTGGTGAGCATTAAACGACCAAAGTACTTGTGCAGGAAACACCAGATAGAAAAACTATATAGTAGTCATCCCATTTACTGCTATTTGCATCCAGGCAGAGTAGTGATTAGAACTGGCTGAATTAAAGCAAAACATTTCTCACAAACATGCTTTCAAAATTACAAACTAGTTTTCTGCCTGGTGGACAGCGGCTGTCTTGGCTATCTTTGTGCCCCTGTTGCAGTAAGTGTATTTTTTGTAAAGTGCTTTTGCTAAAACGGCCAAGTGTTGGAGCCTATTCACATGCAATATGATCTGAATGTACTTATGGGAATATGTGCCTTATAGTTGTACTCCCATCCAATCAGGAAATAAAAACACAACATTTAACCTACTGATTATTTCTAAACAGCTTTTTTTGGTCAGTAATGGTTTTGCATTAAACTCTAATTATGTGGAAGTCAAGAGCTGTTTGCTGGAGTTAATAATGGTAATTTTTTAAGTTGTAATTTATTAAATGAGGGGTGATCAACACTGAGTGTCACAGGAGCTGTACTGCGATATCTTCCTTGGTCCAAGAGTCACAAAGGTGCATGGCTTGGAGAACAAGGCAGGATGCTCGGCGTGGCCTGTGGGCAGGAGCTGTCAATGTCTCTCACCATTGCCTCACTGCAAGATTTGGGTCCAGTGGTGACCTGCAATCAGGAGTACTGGGATCCACGTGGTTTTTGCGTCCTCTGAAGCAAGTGCCCAGCCTCATCCAGCAGCTCTTGTGACTGCTGAGGCACACTTGTACAGCTTGTCAGTAGCGTCCTCTCATCAGTCACAGGTGGTGCAGAGAATGGATAAAGAAGTGCAAAAGGAATAAAATGAATCTTCCAGAACTGTTTTCTAGGGAGTGATGTCTCTGGATTTTGTGGGGAGATAAATGAAGGTCAGTAATTAGGTGCCTGCAGTCTTTCAGCAACCATTTCATTTTCGTGCTTTGGATGGTCCTTGTAAATCAGCTACAGGTGTTCGAAGCCTGTGGTCCAGAAACTGTTGAGTCAGAGATAAAACTGTGCCTTTTTGACAGTGACTGGAGTGTCTTTAAGAGATTATCCTGCTGCAGCTGAAATCTATCTGGCTTTGAACCACTTACAAAATGCATTCACAGTAGGTGGTGGCATCAGCCTCCTCTTAGTGAATGCAGATATTTATATTATGCAAAAGGTTTTCTCACTTTACTGTATTCAGATGATGACTGGAAATACCATTCTTGTTAGATAAAAAATTGAGTCTGACTTTAGAGGTGAATTCAAAGAGCAATTTATATTTAATATATATAGCAGCAAATAGGAACAAAGCTGCTTAAAGATTACTTTCATGATGAATCATTATATGGCTCTCACCAGTACGAAAAGCAATAAAAGTCAAAAAGGAGTGCTAGGATTTAATCACTTAGAAAATGCATGGAAAGGGACCTGTATTGTAGAAAGAGTTTTTCATCACATCAGAGTAGAAATGCTTTGAGGTGAAGCAGTATTAAGTGACTTTTCACCTGAAGATGAGAAGCAGTTGCTACCTATTGTGTATTGTTCCAGAAGGTTATTTTCTGTGGCTGTTAGTTACTCTTATTATTGAAAACATTTTAAAAAGCATAACCGATTTCCATTCCCCATCCCTGTTTCAGGGCGGATGCTGTCATATTCCTTTTTCTTTTGAATATTATCTTTGTTACTACTCATCCTAATTAAATGTTGTAACTTCTAAAAATCAGATTAATTTGGGCCATCAGGCCAATGCAAATGCTGTAATAATTGGAGATCATAAAATGTTCAAGGGACCATAATTTTACTACAGAGCTGCAATGGCATGTGTCCAAGGATTGTGCTACCTTTGTTCAGATGACATGGATTGTAATGTGTGCACTTATGCGTAATGCAGCACGAATAGAAATGATATGTTGCTCAGCTGTTGAATCGCACACACTATCCATAAGTCAACAAACATTAGAGAAGTGACATCACCTCTCCCATCAGTGAAAAACTCTCTTCTTACTATAAATATTGTATGAATTGTATGGTTTCTGCACAAGAGCTAAGTAGGCAGATAGAGCAGGGAAGCTGCTGCGCACCAAAACCCGCAGTTCACTTGTGAGCTTTGTGGTAGTAGACCCACTGCAGCTTGTCTGTGTGTCACCCACGATGTTTCACCCAAGCGCTGCAGTCCATGAGTTCAGCTTGCACAGAGGCTGCTTTGGCTCATTTGATCTCCAGCCAGGACACACACCTTCTCCACACTCACCACTTTCTCCACACTCACTACTTCAGTCTCTAGGGATCGGGACAGATGTTGTGAGGTTCTGATAACCTGGTTCCTTTAAATTATATTTTGGTGTTTTAGTATTTATTTTTTTTTTCCCAACAGATACTAGGTAGCAGATAATGAATTTCAGTTCCAACTTGAGCAGTGACAAAATTGGTCTTCCCACTTCATCCTAGATGAATTTCTGAGGCAGAGGCATCAGGGAAGATCTCACTGGTCATTATGGCTGTAATTACCCAGCACTGAGAGACAGAAAGGGATTAAACTGACACTGCAAACATTTACATTGAAGTTGGTTGTTTAGATTTTTCCTCACAGCTGAGGAATAAAGCACTCTGTGGGAGCAATTACCTCTGCTTGTTTTAGAAGTCTGGGGTAAGATAAGATGAATCACAGGCTAGAAATGCCCCATCCTTGCTATTTGTGCAGTCAGAGTCTGCAGAGTTGGCCAGGGTTGGGGTGGCTGCAGCACTGGGTGGGATGAACCCCACAAGCAGCAACAGTTACATCCTAACCCCAGAAAATGCTCAGCTCCACCTCGGCTGCTCCAGGCTCCTTGGAGGGGTTTGGAGGAAATTAGAGGTGATGTAGTTAAATACGAAATTCCAAAGTGTTTTTATTTTCATGCCAAGACTTGCAACATTTTACCATGAATGCCTTGTTACTTTCTTTTTCATTATCTGTAACATTTAAGAAACTCTGGGCAGATATTTAGGATTTTATAATAGCTATTACTTACAAAGGAGAAAAAATAAGATTGCAGAAGCATATTAATTATCT